GTTTGAAAAGTCTTAAAATTCAGGAGTCCCTGAGGAGTGAGGAGGGAAAGAAAGGTGGAAGAGAATTTGGAACTCAGAATTTCAAAAACCAAATGTTAAAATTTATTTTTACATGTAATTAGGGGGAAGGGGTGTGTGTGTGTGTGTGTGTGTGTGTAAAATTTTGATCCTGGCGGAAAAAAACCCAAAAACAAAAAACATTCAGCAGTCCATTTTGTGGAAATAACAGACTTTGTTTTTCTCTTCCCCACCCCAACCCCAGGAACAGACAACCTTCATTTGTGTTTGCATTGCTGAATTCCTGTCCCTGTATGAGACTGAAAGGCTCATCCAGGAGCTGGCCAAGTGCAAGATAGACACCCATAACATAATTGTCAACCAGCTGGTGTTCCCTGAGCCTGAGAAGCCCTGCAAGATGTGCGAGGCCCGGCACAAGATACAGTCCAAATACCTCGACCAGGTGGGTCTGCCCAAATGCCCCTCCCGCCTCCCACCCTCCACCCCTTTCACTCCCAGTCACTGACCTGGGACCCCCTCCCCCTGCCCTTCGCCACCCTCACTTACCCAGGGGCTGACCCCTGACCTCCCCAGGGTTGAGCTCTGACCTCGCCATGTGGCCCCCTCAGATGGAGGACCTCTATGAAGACTTCCACATTGTGAAGCTGCCGCTGCTGCCCCATGAAGTTCGAGGGGCCGACAAGGTCAACACCTTCTCCAGCCTCCTGTTGGAGCCCTACAAACCACCCAGCGCTCAATAGCCTAGAGAGGCCGCTTGCCCACCCTTGGCCCTGGCTCCTCCTGCCATGCATTTCCTTGGAACGCTCCTCTGCCCCTGGGGCAGTTTGCACAGATGTTCCTCGTGCCCCACAGGGGAAGCTGCTGGCTTGGGGGAGGAAAGGAGGGTAGGGGCAGGGAAAGGAAGGTATTTATTTCTTTCTCCTAGGGGAACAGGGAGCTGAGCTGAGTAGGGCCAGGTGGGCGGGAGGTTGTGGGGAGAAATACAAATTCAGTTAGGCTGTGCCCTGCAGCCTGCCTCTGTGTCAGGGGTTCCAGGCTGCTATCTGTCCCCTCATGACCCTGCTGCCTGGTACCCAGTCACTGACTCTGGGTAACCATGTTCCCTCCCTGCCCCTTCTCTGGTCCAATAATTTCTCTCCCCCATCCCCAATAAATATGATCTGTCATAACCATGGCTGGGTTGATTGGTTGGGGTAGAGGGAGGCAGTAGAGACAGAGGTTCAGGTAAATGGGCACAGATTACTGGAGGTTGTCCCACTATGGACGAGGAAGTGTAGGAGACACAGTTGGAGGGGTAGAATCTTAGCGTTTCAGAGTGGGCCCAAATCTGAATGCCACCTATTTGCTGGCTCTGTGACTGACAGGTAACAGGGAACAGTCTTCTCAAGCCTTGGTTTCCTCGTTTGCAAACTGGGCACTTTACAGACACCATCTGATTGCCGGCACCCCTGTGATGTTACACGCATTGTACAGTCCAGGAGGCTACATGGCAGAATCTGAACCCAGGTGCTTCTGGTTCCCAGGCCACCACTCTTAGCAGTCAGCCCACTGTGCTCCCTGTCCCAGTAGTACCCCAGAAGGGCTTTTGTGAGGAAGGCATGCTGTGAATCCCAAGACACCTCTTTTAAGAGTGAAGGCCTGTAGAGAACAGGTGGGCTTAACAATGGAGATGGGGAGAAATTGTCATTGATTGTTGAAGAAGTTCAAAATGAGAAGGAACAAAAGTGGTAACTGTGGGAATGGAAAGGAAGGGACAGAGAGATGACAGACAGTGGGAAAAATTGGGCCTCAGCCCCTTAGCTGGGCAGGGTGGCCCAGAATGTTCCCAGCCCCTCCCTGGCAGAGGACCTGCCTTGTCCCTGGGAATCGAAAATCAGAAGAGCCGAACCCCTCCCCTCTCCTCCAGCACCTTTGGCTAGGAACCAAGTTTTGATGCTGCCTCCCCCCAAGCCCAACCCCATACACACACTCACTCTCACTCTCTCTCAATCTCTCTCTCTCTCCCTCTCTCCTTCCTTCCAACCTCAACATGAGAAGGGTCAAGGGGCATGGGAATGGGGTGGCCGTTTCCCTATGCTATAAGCAGAGGGATAGCTGAGCACCACAGGGCACAGGAGCAGGATTAGCTGGCCCTGCTGGGGGCCAGGCAGTGCCAGCAGTTTGGTTAGGGAATTAACAGTTGCCTGAGGTGAGGGTTGGCCCCACCTTTCTTGGAAGGGGAGATTGGGCCCTGGTCTCAGCCAGGGGATTAGCAGCTGTGGTATGCCCTTCACCCCCCTCTGCCTTGAAACCCAAGTCTGGAGATGTACCTCCCCAGCTATGTATCTACACCTGAGCTGAGCAGCCTCTGCTCCAGGGCCGAGCACTGCCCGAGACAGGTTTGATGTCTCAATCTCACACAGGAAAAAGAACCCTCCATGACCGGAGACCAGTCTAATCCTTTAGGGTCCCTACCCCTCAAAGAAGGAGAGCAGCCTCCAGGAGGCTCAACCCTAGGAAGTCCAGAAGTAGTGCTTAGACAGAGGAATCAGTGGGTGAGGACCCTAAACAGCCTGGGCTTGTGCCCTCACACTCTGCCTGCTTCCCAACTGGGGGAGTGGAAGTTAGACACCCAGAATCCAGAAGTCCTGAGATCCCTAGTGGAAGGAACACTTCAGCTGGGGTACCTTTGCTGTGGTTAGCAATTGCTTCCTTGAGCCTACTGGACCCTGGTGATGAGTGGTTATCATCAAAGAGGACGTAGAGGAGTTGAACCAGGGTTTAGTATCCCATAAAGTTGTGTGCATTGTGCATGACTTTTCTGCAAGCCTTTTATCTTCATTTAACAGAAACTGAGGCCAAGAGAAGGTTATTGACTTGGGACATAAGGTTAAAGCCTTGTGATAGACCTCAGACGAACCTAGCAGTTTTGACAGTTTTGAGTGAGGGGGTGGGGAGGCGAAAGAGGGGGTCTGTGCTACTGTCTGGAACACTCTGTCTGCCCCAGCAGGGGTGACCAATGCTTGGCCAGTTGGTCAGTTCAGGTGGGGAGAAGGGGAACAGCCTTTCTTAAAGGGCTCCTCCCTCTTTTATTCCCCGAAGTGCAGCTGGTGGAGCATCTAAGCCACACACCCCCACCCAGCAGCGCTCCACCCCGAGAGCTCTGCAGCAGCTGGACAGTGGGAGGCAGAAGCGTTTATAGACCAGCCTGCTCCTTGCGGGTGCTCAGCCACTTTACAAGGAGCCCTAGCCGGCTCATTCTGGATCCTCAAGTGCCCCCCACCACATGTCGTGGGCGGTGCCTTCCCCCTCATGCACACCCTAGTGATTTCAAGATAGGGCAGCACACCCTGATTCCAGAACAGGACGTCTCGTCCATCCTGGCTCAAAGCTGAACTCCAGCTCGGCTCACCTGAGGGAGGAGATGCTGTGCATGATGCCATCATGGCCTAGGGTCAAAGCTAGGCTGCCCTTCTGTAAATCTCACTGATAGGATAAGGACAGGGACGGGTCTTGAGATTTCATTGTTACAAGGAGCTTTCCAGTGAGAAAACGCTCTCCTAATGTAGGTCAGCATCTTACCTGTAACCTAAATTCTGCTTTGCCTCCGTGACTTGCCCAGGGTCCTGCTGCTGGTGTGGCTCAGGCAGGACCGAGACTTGAAACTACGTCTTCAAGGCTTCGAGGCCGGCTATCCAGTACACCTCGTTTGTTGACTGTGTGCCTTAGTACATAAACTATTCTGAAATCCCTGCTACGAGAAATCTCGCCCAGTGTACCTGGAAACAATTGTTTCCCACCCATGTTTATTGATGGAAAAACCAAGGGATCGTGGGGGGACCTGATTAAGGACTAGTTTGGGGGGAGGGAAGAGTACTGGAAAAAAGCAAAACTGCGTTTCACTCAGGACATGAGCAATTAGGATTAAGGTTAAGGTCCTGGCTCCAAGGGGGGAGCTCGCCGCGGTGTCTGTGTTTTTCGTGTGTGACTAATTGTGTATGTGTGTGTATATGTACGCGAGCGTAGTTACCTACTGCATTGGGTGATTTTCTGTCCTCGTGTGGGTAGGAACTGGAACGCAGCTGTAGCTGTGAGCCGAGCTTCGGCCCCCTCCTCTCCTTGGGTGACCTAATCCAAAAAGGAGGGATGGGAGCAAAAGGGGGGGGAGCTAATTGTTTCCAGGACTCCTGCCACAGCTGGGACACGAGTCGGGGGTCTGTCCAAAGAATTGCCTGCCGCACCACCCTTTAGAACTTAGTTGCAAACGAGGCGCCAAGGATGGACTGAGGTGAGGGCTGGGGAGGGGTGGGGGAACTAGGAGGCGTCTCCAAAAGAATGCCAAAAGTAAAGACTACTAGTGACGTCACAACAAGGAGAGGCAGACGGATGGGGTTATGGAGGGTCCGAGTCCTGGGACCGCAGGGCTGGGGGTGGGGAGTGGAAGAGAAAGGGGAGGAAGGTAGTATCCTTGGTGGGTAAATGAGTGAGTGTGTGTGCGTGTGTGTGTGTGTCCTTCCCCTCCCCCAGTAGCCAAAGGGGCGGGGAAGGGCGGGGCCGGTGGTACGGGGAGGAGCCCCCCTCACACTCCCCAGCCCCGAGCCTGGGGCACAGCCCCTGTTCCTCCTGCGCTTCTGACTCCTAGCCCAAGTCTCTGCTGCTCTTGTTCCTACTACTGGTGAGCTGGGGGGCAGACTCGAGGGCTTCAGAACAGGAGGGAAGAGGGACGCTGGGAGTTGGGGATTCCGGGACGCTTCACTTGAGGCTAGTATCCTATAGGTTAGGCGGACTAGAGTTTTGGATATCAAGTAACTATCTCTTCTCTCGCCCCGTAAGACCGGGGAAACAGGCTTCAGTGAGGGTCAGAACGACCTGGGATCAATGATTGAGAACTGAAGGGACTTTTGAAATGATCTAGTCCAATCCGCTTTCTTTAAAGAAGAGTAAATTGAGTCGCACAGAAGATAAATGACTTGCTCAATGTCATGCAGGTTAAGTAAGTGGCAGACTCAGAATTAGAACTCAAGTCCTCTGACTCCAAATTCTGGACTCTCCGCTGCATCGCGCTCTCTCCATAGGCAAGTTTGGGGCGGGTCAGTTCTGAAACCCAGTTCTCTTGCCCTGGACTTTTTCCTGGCTGCACTACCTTTCAGCGACTCCTGGCAGTCCGTGAATGACTAAGAAGGTGGGGTCGCCAAACGGGGACTAGGTGTTTTGAAAACAGGAATCCAGGAGAGATGGGGCTCGGGAACCGAAGGGGCGAGATACCTGGATTGAAGAACGAAGACAAAGTAGGAAGACCTAGACGTCGAGAAGACTGGGGAGAGAAAATAGGTCCTGGGGACCTAGGAGGTTTTTGCCAGGGGCTGGGCATAGAAAGTCCAAGTTCTGGGGATGGGACCCTAGTCAGTAAGTCAACAAGCCTTTGTTATTAAGCCAGGCATTAGGTTAAGCACTGGGATACAAAGAAAAGTAAAACTCCTGTTCTCAAGTAGCTTGCAGTCAAATGGAGGGAGACAGTATGTAAGCAGCTATGTGCAAACAAGATATATGAAAGAAAAACTGGAGAAAATCAACTGAAGGAAGGTACTAAATGGGGGGGGAAGGGCGGCGGGAAAGGCCATCTTGCAGAAGACAGGATTTTAGCTGAGACCTGAAGGAAAACAGGAAAATGAGGAGAAGGAGATGAGGCGGAGAGAGTTCCAATCATGGGAAACAGCAGAAAGTGCCCCAAATCGAGAGATGGAATGTCTAGTGTGAGGAACTTCAAGGAGGCCAGTTTCACTGTGGGTTGGAAGCCCGGGAGCAGGGAATGAGGACGGGATACGGAGACCTTGACGCCGAGGACCAGTCCCAGGGACACAGAAAATGTCGGGGTCCGAGGGAGGTGCACCCAAGGGACGGGGGGGCGTGCGGTTCGGGAAGGCCCTCGCCAGGGTCGGGTGATTACTGTCTTCCTCCTTGGCTCAGGTGGGATTGCGGAGCGACCCGTGGTGTGCTGGAAGAGCAAGGAAAGCAATCCTGACTGTGGCGGGGAGCACTGGGGGAGGAGAAACTCAAGGCAGGGAGTCCAGGGACCCGAGTGACCTATTCAGCAGAGTGGCCCTCACCAGCCCTTTCTCTCGGCCCTCAGTCCCAGTCCGAACCCCAGAATGACAGTGACATACACAGCTCGCGTAGCAAATGCTCGCTTCGGGGGGTTCTCCAAGCTGCTGCTGCTTTGGCGGGGAAGCATTTACAAACTACTCTATCGAGAGGTGCTGGTCTTCCTTGGGGGGTACTTGGCACTGAGCGCCATCTACCGGTGAGGCCCGGCCTTGGGACAAGGGTCTGGGATAGGGGTAGGGGTAGGGTGGGGGAGTGGAGTGGAGGTAGAAACTTTCTGAGAGATGAAGGCTTCAGGTGACAAGAGAGGGTCACTTGAGAGGGAAGGTGGTCGTCAGGGATAGATCTGCCTCTAACTTTCCCTGCTCCACCCCACCCAGCTTTATCCTGACTGACAATCAGAGACCGTACTTCGAGAAGCTAGTCATATACTGTGACCAGTACGCCAACCTCATCCCTGTCTCTTTTGTCCTGGGTATGAACTCACTACCTCTAATCTCAACCCCCACCTCAAGACCAACTGTCAGGTTTCTTTACACCTCAGCCCAGGCACCCTCTATCCCTGGAACTCAAAAAGCCCCTATTCCTAGGCCTAGACCTCTCTCAGCCCCCTCCCCCCCTCCAACTTGTCTTATTAGAGGCCATGGGTCCTCTTGGAACCTTCACGTTCTATAGTCTGGAGCCCTCAACCTCATCCTGATCTTTATGCTGAATCCCTCCTTAGCCCAGACAAGGAACCTCCCTCTAACCCTGAAACTAACCCCTTTCAGAACTCAGACCCAAGATTCATTCCGTCAACAAGAATTTATCGAGTGCATACTCTGTGCAAGGCACAAATATCAAAATGAAATAACCCCTGCCTTGAAGGAGCTTACATTTTTTTTCTTTTTTCTTTTCTTTTTTCTTTTTTTTTTGGCTAGGCAATGCGGTTAAGTGACTTGCCCAGGGTCACACAGCTAGTAAGTGTTATGTGTCTGAGGCCAGACTTGAACTCAGGTCCTCCTGAATCCAAGGCTGGTGCTGTATCCACTGGGCCACCTACCTGCCTCAGGAGCTTACATTTTACTGGAGGAAGGGAGGAATATGTACACATCAAAATAAATAGGGGAAAAAATATAAAGTAGATACAAAAATAATGGGAGGGGGAAGGTGAATACTAGAGTCTGAAGTGATCAAGAAGCCACTTAGGCTGAGCTTTGAAGAGGGCTAGGGATTCTCTGAGAGGACATTATAGGTACGACAGACAACCAGTGCAAAGTCCCAGAGATGGAAATGGAGTATCTTGTCCAAAAGAACAACAAATAGGTCAGTTTACCTGGACTGCAAAGTGCTTGAAGGAAAGCAAGATGAAACATACCTGGAAAAGGAGCCTGGAACCAGATTGTGAAGGGTTTTAAATTCCAAACAGAGGAATTTGTATTTTATCCCAGAGGCAAGAGGGAAGCAGTGGGGTGTGTGGTGGTGGTGGTGGGGAACCCATTAGGAATATCCATTTGGCAAGAGGATAAATTGGAGAGGAGAGGAGGCATGATACCATTCGTAATTGGGAAGCTATTGCAGTCAGGCAAGGGATGATGAGGACAGTGGATGTATAAGTAGAGAGCTGGGGATATATGGTGGAGGCAGAATCGATAAGATTTGACAACTGATTGGATAGAAGAGATGAGGAAGAGTGACAAATCTAGGATGACTCTAAATTTGGGCACCTGTGTGCCAGGAACAATAGTGGTGTGCTCAGCAGAAACGGAAGGGAGGACATGGGGGTTTGAAAATTAGTTTTCTTGTGGAATTGTTAAGTTCAAGATGCTGTGGAACACATGGGACTAGAGTTTAATAGAGAGACAGGTAGATTATGTAGATCAAAGAGACATTTGCACAGAGATGGTCGTTGATGAGCTCATCAAGATAGTGTAGAGTAAGCAAAGGGTCCAGGACAGAGCTCTGGGGTAGTTTACACCCAGACATAAGGCAGAGGAGACTCAGAAGTGGCCAGAAAGGTAAGAAAAGAACCAGGAGAGAGCAGTGTCAGGAAAATTCAAGGTGGGCACTCTTAACCTGAGGAGAGATTTCAGGGGATCCATGAGCTTGGAAGGGGAACAAAAAATTATATTTTTATTTTCACTAACATTTAATGGAAATTTAGCATTTCCTCAATTAGTTAAAAAACAATCTAACATAACAGAAAAGATCCCTGGTCTGGAAAGGGTGGTCAATACTTTCAAACTGTGGAGAGAGGTCAAGAGAGATAAGGACTGAGAAAAGGTCATTGAATATGGCAGTTAAAAGGGTTTAATTGAGAAGTAAGTGGGACGCAGCAGTGCATAGATACCTTTTTTTTTCCCTAGGAGCTTGGCTGTCAGTCAATAAACATTAATTAAAAGTCTACTGTGTGTCAGACACTATTCTAAGAACTAGGAATATAAAAAGTGGCAAAAGACAGTCCTTGCCCTCAAGGAACCCACAATCCAATGGGGGAGACAACAAGCAGTCAAATATGTACAGACAAGCTATATAGGATAAATAATTGAGAGGGAAGACCCTGGAATTGGGAAGTTAGGGAAGGCTTCCTGCAAAAGGTGGGATTTTAGTTGGGACTTAAAGAAAGCCTGGAGGTTAGGGAGAGCATTCCAGGCATGGGGGGCAGGAAAAGAAAATGCTTGGAGTCTTGTTTGTGGAACCACCGGAAGGCCAGTGTCACTGGATAGAAGAACATATGATGGGCAGGAAAGTATAAGAAGATTGGAAAGGTAGGAGGGGGGTAGCTTATGAAAGGCTTTGGATGTCAAACTGAACATTTTCTATTTGATCCTGGAGGTATTAGGGAGCCAGGCACTGGAGTTTATTGAATAAAACGGTGACAAGGTCAGACCTGAGATTTGGGAAGCTGAGTGGAGGATGGACTGGAGTGGGGAGAGACTTGAGGGTGGGAGACCCATCTGCAAGCTTTTGCAATAGTCCACGTGTGAGGGGATGAAGGCTTTCACCAGAGTGGGGGCAGTATCAGAGGGCAGAGGGAGATGAGATAGGGTGAGATAGGAGAGACAGGAGGAATCAAGGGTGACACCTCGGTTTCAAGCCTGGGGGGCTGGGAAGATGGTGTTGCTGTCAACAGTAATAGGGAAGGTCGGAGGAGTGGGGGCCCAGGGGGAAAGGTAATGAGTTCTATTTTGAACATATTGAGCTTAAGATGCTACCGGATGTCTATTTCAAAATGTCTGAAAGAATTGGAGATGGGAGATTGAAGGTCAGCACAGAGCTTAGGACAGGAAAGGTAGATCTGAGAATCAGCAGCACAAAGATGATCATTAAATCCATTCAAGTCGATGAGATTACCAGGTGTAGGAAGAGGGCCCAGGCAGAACCCTATTGAACATTTAGGGTGAGAAGACATGATCTGGTTGAGAATCCAGAAAGGGAGATTGAGAAAGATTGGTCAGATAGGTAAGTGGAGAAATAGGAGAAGGGGGTGTCCTGAAAACCTAGGGAGTGTCAAAGAGTGATCATCGGTGTCAAAGGCCGCAGGAGGATGAAGATTGATAAAAAAAAAAAACCATCGGATTTGGCAATTAACAAGATCCTTGGTAACTTTGAAGAAAGCAGTAAGGTGGATTGTAAAGGGTTAATAGAATGAGAAGAGAGAAAGTGGAGGTTGTGAAAGGGAGGAGAGAGATAAGACTTTAGCCTGAAAGAATGGTAGGATCAAGTGAAGGTTTTGGGGTTTGATTTGGTTTTTAAGATAGGAGAGAGCCGGGCATGTTTCTAGGCAGCAGAGCAAGCAATGGATAAAGAGATTGAAAATTAGGGAGAGGAGCTGACTGAAGAGACAAACTCCCTGCGATAGATGGGAGTGGATAGGATTAAGGATACAAGGAGAGGCTTTGTCCTTTGTAAGGAAAAGGTCCACCTCCTCCTTTGAGAATGGTGATTTGAAGTGTATAGCTTGGATGGATAAGCACCAGTTTTTTCAGTAAAGTATGAGGCAGGGAGAGGCAGCAAGAGGGAGTGGTGGTAGGGCAGGTGACTTGAAGAGAGAGTTGTTAGGGAAGAATAGAGTGCATCAGAGAAGAGTGAAAGGACCCAACTGAGATTACAGAACACCCTCGCAGGAGTGGATCGGTCGGATCGGTCGGATGGCAGGAGTAATCTAGGGCGAGAGTTTGGAAAGGAACATGTGGCCATAGAGCAGGGGAGCAAAGGACTCAAGGGTAGAGGATCACAATTTTAAAGTGAGGCTAGAGTAAGGGGCTAGTCTAGCAAAGCAGGGTGGGATGGCATGAGTTATCTTTTGAAAATGCTCCTGGATACCTCAAGAGTCCAACCTGCGCTCTGTATAGACCTTGAATCTTTGAAATACCTGACTTTTCCCACCACCCCTGCCCCTATATCATATTTCTCTCCTGTCCCTAGTAGCTTTGACTTCATACCCTTATAACCCACTCCCAACTGTGACCCAGCTGAACTTTAACTTCATTCTTTCCACCTACACAGGGTTTTATGTCACACTGGTGGTGAATCGATGGTGGAGCCAATACACGTGTATGCCTCTGCCTGATGCCCTCATGTGTGCAATATCCGGCTCGGTACATGGCCGGGACGAGCGGGGCCGACTATACCGGCGCACACTCATGCGATATGCAGTCCTGTCTGCCGTGCTCATCCTTCGCTCTGTCAGTACGGCTGTCTTCAAACGTTTCCCCACCATGGACCATGTGGTAGAGGCTGGTGAGCTTCTGTCTAGGGACACTGAGGCCTTGACCCTGGGGGAGGAGTGTTTTCCCATTCATTTTGCAGAAGAGGAGGAGGGGGATGGGGAACCTAGCAGCCTGGCTTGGAGGTGACCTTCTGGTCTTCCAGGGTTTATGACTCGTGAAGAGCGGAAAAAATATGAGAGCCTGAATTCATCCTACAACAAATATTGGATACCCTGTATCTGGTTCGCCAACCTTGCTGCCCAAGCCCGCAAAGAGGGTCGGATCCGAGACAGCAGCACTTTCAAGCTGCTTATGGAGGTAAGGGCAGCAGGAACTAAGAACTGGGTCACACATCCCCCCACCCCATTCTGGGAGAGAGGCGTTGCCATTCACCCAAGGGACGCTTTGCCCAGCCCCATCCCCATCGTTAACTCTAGGTTTTTCTAGACATGGTTCCTTAAGGGACCCTCTTACTGCTCCCTGACTCCATGCTCTCTATCACAGAAACTGGATGAGTTCCGGGCCAAATGTGGGATGTTGTTTCATTATGACTGGATCAGCGTGCCCCTTGTCTACACTCAGGTACCCACTGTGACTCAGTTTCCCTTCTCACTTATTGGGATATTGACCAGGCTCTCAGGGACTGGGAATGTAACAATAGAGTTGGAGAGGACGACTAAGAGCAATGGGACGACTCTTCCAAGGGTTAGCAGTGCTCCCTCCCCCACCTGCCTCACTGACCTGCGATCCTCCACTGTCCTGACCCTGCCTCTAGGTGGTGACAATTGCAGTATACAGCTTCTTCCTGGCTTGTCTTATTGGGCGCCAGTTCCTGGACCCAACCAAGGGATACGAGAATCATAACATGGACCTGTGCATTCCAGTCTTCACCCTGCTTCAGTTCTTCTTCTACGTTGGCTGGCTCAAGGTAAAACCTACAAGACAGAGAATATAGGGAAAGGCTTGGGAGGGACCAAGGTCTCAGGGAAGTGGCTGGGGGTGGGAGTGGGAGGGAAGGCGTCAGGACAAAACACAGGAATCCAAGGGCATTGGGCAGATCTCTCTGTGGAAGAGTCCTCATTTCCAGTGCCCACCCTTCACTCCATAGGTGGCTGAGCAGCTCATAAACCCCTTTGGGGAGGACGATGATGACTTTGAGACCAACTTTTTGATTGACAGGAATTTCCAGGTGAGGCCCCATTCCCTCTCATCTCTTCTATCTGATAGCCTCTTCATCAAGATTCTCCTTAACTCCCACCTTCTCCCAGGACAGCTTTGACCATCCCTCCTAGAAAATCCTCTTCCTTGGGCCAGCTAGGTGGCACAGTGGATAGAGCACCAGCCTCAGAGTCAGAAGGACCTGATTTCAAATCTGGTCTCAGACCAGACACTTGACACTTACTTAGCTGTGTGACCCTGGGCAAGTCACTTAACTCCAATTGCCTCACAAAAAAAAAAGAAAAAAGAAAATCCTCTTCCTCAATGGCACCCTCCCTGACCCTGTAGCCACATCCTGTTACTCCCACTCCAGGTGTCAATGCTGGCGGTGGATGAGATGTATGATGACCTGCCACTGTTAGAGAAGGATTTGTACTGGGATGCTGCGGATGCCCGGGCACCCTACACAGCAGCCACCGCTTTCATGAGGCACCAGCCCTCCTTCCAGGGTTCCACCTTTGATATCACGTGAGCTGGGGTGGGGTAGGTGGGTTGGGGTAGGTGGGGTGTATCCTGGGAATCAGAACATCCAGATTCCACTTCTGGCTCTTCCTGTTGCTAGTGAGATCCTGAACAATTCCCTACCCCTTTCTAGGTTTTAGTTCCTCCCTCGTAAGATGAGAGACTTGGACTAGGTGACTCCTAAGCTCCTTCCATTTCTGAGATTCTTCTTGGGGAAATGGGTGGGGGAGGATGCTTAAGGAAAAGATCAAAGGATTTGGGTAGTTTGAAGATCCGGATGGAGAGAAAGCAGCCAGAGATGATATGAGCTATTCTGAGACATCTGTTGGTCACCATTTACCCCCTAACCCTGGTCCTTGTAGGCTGGCTAAAGAGGACATGCAGTTTCAGCGACTGGAGGGCATGGAGGGGCAACTGGGGGAAGGTCCCTCAGTACCAGGAGACTTCTTGCACCGACTACTGGCAGGTGGCTCTGGCCCAGGTCCTTCCGCAATCTTGGGCCGACGACTGTCCTTGCTTCGAAGGAAGAATAGCTGTGTTTCAGAGGCTTCAACCACAGCTGGCTGTCCTTGTCCAGACTGTGGCCAAGATGACTCAGCCACAGGTCCCCTCCTGGACCCACCCTCTGACACAGAGCCCACCCCACCTGCTGCTCCTGCTTCTTCCTCTGTGGAACCCCCTCCCTCTGTGGTAGTGGTACCCATGGCTCGAGGCCCAACCCCTAATCCTGCACCATTGCCTCCCTGGCTGCCTAGCCCAATTGGAGAAGAGGAGGAGAGCTTGGCCTGAGACTTGTTGCTCACTGACTGACCAGCATGCTAAGCACTGGTCAGATGGATGGCCAGCCACTGGAGAGATGGGACTATTGGACCAAGACACTTTCACGGTCACCCCTCCCCTACCCCAACACAAAGTGCAGCTTCTACAGCCCAAGAGATATCATCTAGAGTAGGATGAAAATGATGCCACTAATGGTCTTACCTATAAGAGCCACCCCTCAAACCCCCTACCCCATGTCCCAGGGCAATGCCTGAAAACTCCCCCTCTCAGGACCCAGAAGCAGCACCTGGGCCCTGAATCCTAGCTATGCTACTGAATACCTTTGTGATCTAAGTCAAGTCACTTCAGCCTCAGAGTATTTCTTTTATCAGTGAAGTTCTTGACACTTCTGAGTCCTAGGATCCAAAGGACATAGGACTCTAATCTACACTCTACCTCCAACCCTGGAGGTCTCCTTCTCCCTCTCCCCCTCGACGCTTCCACCTCAGGGAGAATGAGCTTATTGGAACCTGCCCTGGGAGCCCAGGAATGCCTCCCTTAGCTGCACGTCGACTGACACATGGAAGAAGCCAGTCTGGTGGATTTAGGATTGAATGCTTTATTTAATTCCTCATCTCAGACTTAGAAGATTTATTCCTCTCCCGAATCACATTTTTAAAAAGAGAAGGTGGGGCCCAGCCTGGCAGTACTGGAAACACAGAAATCCAACTCCTCTTTGCCCTGAGAACCAGAGGTTAAAAATGGGACGGACCCTTGGGAAAACATCTTAAAAAACAAAACTTGGGTGAAGGAAAAGGGTTGAGGTCAGAGATCAGAGGTCAGGGCTAGAATTCCCTTGCCCTGGAGTTGGGTGTGTGCAATAAGGGCAACTCCGTGTAGTGTGTGCATGGAGAAGGGAACAGCCCAGGTTTAACCCTATGCTGCCCAGAAGAATGGAGTAGTGAGGGTTTGGCAGTCAGTGCTTGTCTTCAGATCGGCTAGGGCCAGCCTGCGCTCGAGCCAAGGGTCCCCGGCGTGTGTTGGTGGCCAGTCGCTGCTGAGCCAGGAAGGACTGGGCATAAGCTGGGCCTGGCTGTCGATCCTCCCCTGCAGCTCGTTGCTGCAAGGCCATGCCCTGGGGAAAAGGTGAGCGCAGAAAGACGAGAAATTAGGGGTCACTTGAGGAAGGAGGTCCAGAGATGGGAGTTCTGGGGAGAGGAGAGGAAGCAGCAGGGCATGGACGGAATGGGTGCCCACTTACCATGTTGTACCAGGCACTGATGATCAGCTTTTCCTCCTGCTCCCGCTGACTCCGGCTCTTCTCAAAGTCAGTCTGAGGGAGAGGTTTGGTTGGGAAATGTCAAGGCCTTGCTTCCTGCCCATTTCCAGACTCAGTGATCAAGCACCCCCACCTCCACCCCCTACCCCAGGAGAGGAGGGTAACGTCAGCCAGGTCCAGCAAGAAAACCACCTCAAGGTGTCGGATCCTTAGGTCCTTCTCCTGGAGTTGGGTTCTCAGGGCTTGAATCTCCAGGGGAGGAGGCCCTGGCGGCCGCTGCTTGGGCTCCAGTGTCTGGATGACCTTGGGAGGGAGGGTGAGAAAAGACACTGTGGGCAGTCCCAGGGAGCCCAGCCTAGGTGGGACAGACTTGGGGGAGAGGCAGGGCAGTGCTATGAAAGCTCAGATCTCTGCATTTTGTTAAGTCTTGGGCTTGAACTCTGGATCTGCCAGGGCACATCACTTCCCCCACTGGCCTTTGGTTTCTTCCTTTATAAACTAAGGGTGATAGGCTAAGGGCACTTCTAGCTCTGGGCCTGTGATTGTAAGTGGGGCAGGGGTGAGGCCTCGCCACTCCTGGGGTCCTCACCGTCCGAGCCTTTTCCATGTACCGCCGGTAGCGCTCCTCCATGGCTCGCATGTCGGCCTCCTTCTTCTGCAGGCTCCTCTGTAGCTCCTCAATTCGCCTCGCTGCTGCAGGAACCCAGGAGCTCAGGGCTCCACCACGCCACCCAGCCCATGCCCCTCTCCCCACCCCTCAGAGGGCATCTTACTGCTGCTGTCGGCCGGTGGCTGCAACTCATCGATGTACTCCCGTTTTCTCTGCAGCTCTGAGTGTGCCTCATGCAGCTTCTCCCTAGCCACAGGCCCGAGGGATCATGCCTGGCCCCACCAGGACGATGGTCCTTGCCCTACCAGCAGCCTTTCTGGTCTCCCACTCTCTCCACCCCAGCCTAGCTAGCCTCTGAAGATGGCCACCATTTATACAGTGCCTGTCATGTGTCAAACATTATGCTAAGAACTTTATAAATATTATCTCATTTGAGCCTTGCAACAACCTAGAGAGATAGATGCTATTATGATCCCCATTTCACAATGGAGGAAACTGAGGCAAATAGAAGTCAAATGACTTGCCCAAGGTCACACAATTACTAAGTGTTTAAGATCAGATTTGAACTCAGATTTTCCTAACTCCAGGTCCAGCGCTCTATCCACTATACCACCTTGCTGCCTATCCGCCTACCAGACCCAGCTCTCCAACCCTAACCTCTCTCCTGAGCTCCAGACCCAGATCTCTTTGCTTGGCATCTGAGGCCCCTCAACGGGTTCCCTCCAATCTTCTCCCCAGCATCATCTCTCCCATCTCCCTGCTCTACTTCTGTCCCACGGTAACGGCCACCAGGGGCCTCTCCCCTTGGCTGGTCCCTTCAAGCCCTGGAACTTACAGATGCTCCTCCAGCTTCCTCTTCAGTAGCGAAGACTGAGGACAGAGACAAGGAGAAGGGGTGAAGCTGGGCTACTTGCTCTGTCTTCTCTGCCCAGCACCACAACCCTCTCTACCCCCACCTCCTACTTACAATAGCCTAGAGAGCCGACAGGCAGCAGGTGGAGAGAAAGAAGATTAGAAGAGAGACGAGGGATGAGGTGAGGGCAGGCTGGGTTGTAGCGACACCAGCCTGGGGATACTCCCCCCCACCTCCCCTTCCCCCCTCGTGAATGGGGGCTGACAGGTCTCAGGCATGGCTGTGCGGAAGTGGTGCCGGGGCCCAGACCACTCACATCCTCAGCTTTGCCCCCCTGTTCCTGTAATGCCTTCTGTAATTCTTCTACTTGTGCCCGAAGCTCTGCCAACTGTTGCTGATTCAGCCTGGGGGTGAGGAGACACAGGACTCAGGGTGTCCCAGCCCTGGCTAGGCCTCACCTCGCTCGGTCTTCAGTCTCGGCGCCCCCACCTGTGCTGGGTCTCCAGCCTGTGCCTAGCACGGTTGGCCTCCTCCAGCTGCCCCTGAAGCTCCTCAGTGCGGCCACGGTCAGCTGCTTCCTGCTGGCACAGACGTCTGTTTTCCCGCTGCAGGCGAAGGATCGTTTCCCTGTAGGGCCAGGCCCCAAAGAGTAGTCAGATGTGGTCCTGTCTTTCAGCCCACCCCCATCGAAAGGAGGAAGAGATCCCTGGGGCTTGGGACAGTGAAGGAAGGCCAGGAGCTTGCGAGAGGGGGAAGATTTGGATGGACAGGAAGGAGTCTGGTGGTATTGGGCTGAAACAGAAGGGAATGCAGAAGAGACACAAGGCTGTGAATGGCCCGAGGACCAAGGGCCCAGCCACCAGAGGCCAAAGGGGGATCTATCACAAAGACTGGTACAGGGAAAGGAACCTGAGCTCGGCTGGAAGGATCTCCGCGGCCAGATTCTCCATAGGTGATGACATTTGCTGCAGCTGGACATCTGAGGAGACAGGGACAAGGTCAAGTGGGCACTCCATCAGCCCCAAGCCCCTAGCCCAACACCACCTCGGGGACCACTTACCTGCCTGGATGAGCCCCCTCTGCTGCACCTGGACACAACACAGCTCCTCGTGTGCCTCCCGGAGAGAATCTCGCTCCTCAATGAGCCGCTGGAGGTGGGGGGAGGGGAGGGACAAGGAGCCAGGGTCAGCTCTAGGGTTTGGCCCCACATACTGAAAACACTGATGAGTATTACAAAGTTGGGAGAGATCTCTGAGGAGCAAACCGAGGCTCAGAAAAGGGACAAGGCACTCAAGGCCAACACAGGCAGTGAGTGGCAGGGCTAGCATTCAACACCAGGTTTCCTGACTCCAAATCTAGGGCATCCTTTGTTTCCCAGCTTGGGAAATGGCCCTGGGCTCAGGCCCACTGGAGGGTCACCCACCTCTTTCTCTTTGACCACAGCCTCGTATTTCTCTTCCAGTGTCCGGCACTCAAACAGCCATTTCTCAGCCTTCAAGGCCTCCTCCTGCCGCTGACTCTGTAATTCTTGTACCTGGAAGGGGTGTGGGACAGTAGGATTAGGGGGAAAATGAATGAGCTGGGCCCAGGCCCCAGACATTACCTGATCCCTCTGGAACCAGCTCCAGTCCCCGTCTGCCCATCCTCCACCTGTCTCCGATGGCCCTCCAGCTGGGCTCTGAGGGTCCCTGCCCGCCGTAGCTCATCCTCTAGCTGCCTCGTCCGCTCTGCGTGGCCGGCATTTCGTTCCTCCAGCAGTCGCACCTGCCGCCGAAGCTCCCCCAGCTCCCCGAGGCGACGCTGGCACCCACTCAGTGTGGCCTCTAGCCGGCTTGCTCGTTCTGATGATTGCCTAGGGGCCATGGTTCAGCTTGGAGCCCCAGGGGCCAGGGGCTTGGGAAAGTTAGGAGCCAGCCCTGGTTGTTGGTTTTCAGGGGCTATTCCCAGTCAGAAGTCAGATGGGTGGGAAACGGGAATCCACCTGGTTTAGGATTGGGCCCTGAGTTGGTGCTACCTACCTGAGCTCATCCATTTCATCCTTTAGGGTCTGGGCCTCCTGGGCCAGGCTGGTTAGTGCATGGTTCCGCTGCTGGAGCTCAGCCACCTCTCTCTCCAGCTCCATGCAGCGCAGACGCTCATCCTCCTTCAAGCTCTCAAGTCTGTGGGCAGAGAAGTGGACACATGGTGGCGGTGGGGGACGACAAAGTTCAGTGCCCAACCCTATACCGCTTCAATGCCAGTTATTTGCTCTGCTGATTATCTCCAATCTATCCTGTGGCTCATTTGTAGAGAGGCATTTGCATGTTCTCTCCCTATCAGACTGTGACAGGGGCAGGGGCTACCTTTGGCCTTCCTTTGTATCTCCGGCACTTAGTACAGCCCCTGACATGTAAGAGGCACTTAAGGTTTACTGACTGACACAGCCCCTTCCCAGGCTCCTTCCCAGGACCTACACACCCCTGTAGCCCCTGAGACCATAGGCAATCGGGCTGGTGACCCCATCCCCTGGGGGCCCAGGGGGATGCCCCACTCCTATAATCCT